TTGGGGGGGGGGGGGAAATAGAAAAGCAGCATTATTCTCAAGTAGTACGTTTTGATGGGATCACCTGGAACTATTTGCTAGAGACACTTTCATTTCTTCTTTTAGACCTTCAGTACTTCCAACATCACAAAACTGTGCCCCGGGGCACGTTGCCTCTTTGCCTTCTATGGTGGTGAGACCGCCTACCACAAGTACCTCATCATCTTCCAGATTTTCAATGTTTTCATGTTCTTTTGGCTGGCCAACTTTGTCATTGCCCTGGGACAAGTCACACTAGCTGGCGCCTTTGCTTCCTACTACTGGGCCTTTAAGAAACCTGATGATATGCCAGCATTTCCCATCTTCTCTTCCTTTGGCCGAGCACTCAGGTAAAGGGACTGGGGTGGAGAGGGAAAAGTGTGTTCTGTCCCCTTGATATCGGCAATCTTTACCTTTTGCGGGAATAGGAAATTGTTATTGGGGACCAAGTTCACAGATAGAAAAGAGAGGTGCAAACTTAGTATAAGATTCTTTGTGATTTGGGTAAGATCTCACCCAAATCACCTCACCTCACCTCTTGGGAAACGGCAAAGTGTTCTGCACTTTGTGGTTTGGAAAAGAGAGCTGATTTCTCAGAAGCTAGTATTACAATTGAAGTTGATGTTAGGCTTATTCAAGGCCATTTAAATTCCCCTGGGTGAAAAGATAACGTGCTGCAATTTTCTTTGTCAGAACACCGACAACATGATGTGCTTCAACAGAGCACCACATGTGGTTTCAAAAGCTTGTGAAAGTCAGAAGAGGCTTCTGCAGAAGCATAGTGCCCACACAGAAGTCTCTCCTGGGCCTGGCAAGTGCTGCTTGAGAAGACCCAGTATTGTGTTCTCCAGCAGAGCAGCAGTTAACCACAGCCAGAAGAGGCTCCGGTGGAAAAACTGTGTTGTCCTCCCTCCTTCTCTAAGGAAAAGTGTACAGGTGTGTTGCAGCCTTCACCAGTGCAATTTTCTCTCCTCCTGTTTTCTCCCTGCAGGTATCACACTGGTTCACTGGCCTTTGGGTCTCTGATTCTTGCCATTGTCCAGGTCATCCGAGTCATTCTGGAGTACTTGGATCATAGATTAAAAGGTACTGCCCTTTCCTACTGGCTGAAAACTTAAGGCATTTCTTTTGTAAACCTATCCCCAAGGGATGGTGCTGTCATGGTTTGTGGGGTGTTTGTGTTAGATTTTTTTATTTCAATTTTAATCTTGGTTGTGGCATTCTGTAGCAGCTTAGGGCCTATAGGAATTTAGTGATATAGGAGCCTAAATAAATAAATAAATAAATAAATAATCAACAGGATACAGGCTCTTTCTAATGTGATAGAGAGAAAAATAAAAAACTTTCTCTTGTCCTATTTTGCAATCCAATTAGCTTCTGAGAACATGTTTGCCAAGTTCCTTTTGACCTGTCTCAAATGCTGCTTCTGGTGCCTGGAGAAGTTCATCAAGTTTTTGAACAGGAATGCCTACATTATGGTGAGGAATTCAAAAATCTGTGACTTACCTAGGGCATTAATGCAGATTTCTAGATGTTCTGCACAATAAGGGAACTATTCCATACCAGCTAGCTTTACCTTTGGCATAAGTTTGCAAGTTTTCCTTTAGATTCTTCATTTTTCTTTAAAAGATTTGAAGCAGCTTTGGCTGCCAAATGCACTCATCCTGATCATTTGTACAATGCATTTAGTTGCAATCCTGGTGGTCACGCCAACGCTGCAGCAGTTATCATTCTTAGTACAGTGGTACCTCTGTACTTACTGTACTTACTTACGAACTTAATCCGTTCTGTGACTCTGATTGCAAGTCAAGTTGGTCGCAAGTCGAAGTACATTTTCCCATAAGGTTCAATGCAATTACCGTTAATCCGTTCCGGCGTCTGGGGACCATGCATCAGGGGCGGAAAAACGGCCGCGGACCACGTGGCACGGCGGAAAAATGGCCGCGGACCATGTGGAACGGGCGGAAAATGGCCGCGGACCATGTGGAACGGGCGGAAAATGGCCGCGGACCATGTGGAACGGGCCAGAAAATGGCCGCGGACCACATGGAACGGGCCGGAAAATGGCCACGGACCACATGGAATGGGTGGAAAATGGCCACGGACCACGCGGCAGGGCGGAAAAACGGCCGCGGACCACGTGGCACAGGCAGAAAAATGGCAGTGGATCACGTGGAACGGGCAGAAAATGGCCGCGGACCACGTGGCATGGGCAGAAAAATGCCCGCGGACCACGTGGAACGGGCGGAAAATGGCAGCGGACCACGTGGAATGGGCGGAAAATGGCCGCCGATCCGGTTCGTAAGTCGAGGCGAGTTCGTAAGTAGAGGTAAATTTTTGGGGCCGGAGCTGGTCGTATCTCGAAAAATTCGTAAGTAGGGGCGTTCGTAAGTAGAGGTACCACTGTACTTGTTTTCAGATGAGATGAGATGAGATTTGGAATATGTCTAGAGGATGGGTGTGGTTTGGGGACTCCTTTGAGATGATGGTTCAGCACACCTATGAGCCAGGTGACTGGACCTTTCAACATGTGCTCCTTCATTTACCAGTCCACAGAACACATAATGGATACCCAAAAGATGCCCAGAGGGATGAGTTAATTGACCTAAGGCATATTAATGTGGTTGCCTTAAGTGGTAATTTTTTTTACTTGGTCATTCTATCTTGTTCTCTGGAGTATGAAGCATGAGTGCAGGAAGCTCATGGTGTTTCAACAGATGAAGATAAAATTGGGTATCATGTGAAATACTTGAAATAAACTTTTAAGTTTCTTTTAAGAAAAAGTGTCTCCAAAAGCAAGGATCAGAGAGAGAGAAAACTAAAAGACCTATAAGGGACATGCAGTGTGCTCATTATTAGAGTGAAGACTGAGGTAGAAAGCAAGAGAGGATGTGAAGAATGTCAAGTCCTTTTGTCATTCCAAGAATTCTTTTCTGTCTAAAACACCTGTATGAATGCAATTAATGCAGCATACATAATAGGAAACAGATTGTTTGGAAGTAGTGTTTATAAAGGCTGCTGCTAAATCTTTAAGGTATCAGTCTTACATGGACTTTCCTTCAGAGATAAAGCCTTTTTTCTTCACTAGGAAATGGTGGACTTGATATTTCCAGGATCATGAAAATGCTAATACTCGTTCATGTTTATTTTGTATTGATTGTTATTGTGAAGTGATAACTCTTGTGAATTTTATGAACTGGATAAGGCTTCTGAAGGAAATAAGATGGTGAGAATGATAGACTAGATGGAGCCCCCTGATGCTAGGAATTTTAAATAAAGATCTGTTTAAAAGCTAGGTAGGTCACATGGGCATGGTGGGAAGACATAAGAAGCAACATAACAGAGATCCAGATAGGTATATCTTCCTTCTTTTTCCCTTCCCTTCACATTCCCAAAGGCCATGTAAAAGATCGTGGTTGCTTGTTTGTTTTGTTTTATCATAGCACTGATACTGGCCTAATAGTGGCCATTATCTGTATTTACCTCTTTCTGGCTCGAAGTAATCATGACTTTGAAGAAAAAAAAAAAAGCCGTTCCTCAATAATTTTTTCCCCCTTTGGCAATTTGCCCAGATTGCTATTTACGGCACCAATTTCTGCACTTCTGCAAGGAATGCCTTTTTCCTGCTCATGAGGAACATCATCAGGTGAGGACCTGGCAGCTGCTTTTGGTTTACTTTGTTGTGTTTGGAGAAGCTCTACAGCACGAACAGCCATGTTCTTTAGATTTAGTAACTGAAAACTCCATGATAAACTGTTATTTGATGATTGAAGACCCTTTCCCAAGCGTCTGCTCCTCTCTCTCTGCCAAAAAACCCTCTTGAGATTCACTGGTCCCAGCACACTCTCTTTTTCCCACCCTGGCCAAGGAAGCAAGCATGCCACCCTTGAATGAGCATGTAGGCAGCTGAACACGTGGCCTGTGGGCTTCTGTGTGTACAATTGGCATAAAAAGAAGTAGTTGCGAACAAAACTCAACATAAGAAATCGCCTGCTTCCATAAAGGCCCCTCACCTGGGATATAGATGCCTTGCAGAACGTGTTGTGGCTCGCTCACGGTCACTTAGCTGTGGTGTGGCAGTGGGCATTCTGTGTGGCAATGTCCATCTTGTGGAGCAAATTGGACCCCCAGCTGGTACAGAAATATGAAAACTTGTGTATTCACCCAGGCGCGCTCTTGATTGTATCACCTGCCCTAATTATGGGATTAGGTATACATTTTTATTGGTTGTATTGTATGTTTTACAGCAATTCTTATAATTCTAAACCTATTTCATATTTTTAAAATGGAAAGTGGCATGAAAATGGTGTAAGCATTCATGCAAACATAGAAATTTATTCTGAAAGCATCACAAAGTGTGCTCAGTTTGAGTGAGATATTTGACCTTATAAAAACATTTGTTTCAAAATGGAAATGTAGCAAGAGACAATCTGATGAAGTCCAGTATTAACAGGAGGAGAGATTGTAGTGTACAGTAAGCAGCCCAAGATGAGTAAGCTGTGGCCAGCCTATCCAGTTAACTCTGCTTACCTGTGATCTAAAAAAAAAAGTCAAGTCTCCTTTTAGTCGAGCTTGACTTCTGGTGAATTCATGGACTTCTTGACTTTCTGATGATAGTATGGAAATGGTTTGACACTGCCTTCTTCCAGGATGTTTTTCCATTGCCCACTAACTACACCCCTGGAAACTCCTGGTAGTCTCCCATCAACTACTAACCAGGCCCGGCTTTGCTTAGCTCCAAAGAAACCACCCCAGAGAAAGTCATCTGGGTTCTGCTGATGCATGATCTGAAGTAGGCATTGCTGTAACATTCTCAGTTATATTTCTATAACTATTGTATACAGTAACTGTTTCTTCTCTGTATTCAGGGTGGCTGTTCTGGACAAAGTCACTGATTTCCTGTTTTTCCTTGGAAAGCTCCTAATTGTGGGAAGTGTTGGTAAGACTTTTGTGATATTTTGGGCTTTCTCTCTCAAGTCTGGTTCACTTATTGGTCCTCTTTTTGGACTTTCCATGCAGGTTTCTCTGCATTTTTCAGTATCTTAGGTCTCTTAGATGCATTTTCATTTGAATGCAATTGTATATGCAATAAAGAATGCACCTGTCAAAGCCTTTTCTTTTGGCATAACAGGAACGGTGCCCTAATGTAGCTGGAGGTAAAGCTACTTCTTTTTCCAAAGTATGATTTCTGTACCTTTCCATGTTTTGCTCTACTTCCATCCTACTTCTGCTCTTCCAAAAATTTCCAGTTGCAAGTCGCTAGTCATCAGCTTGCCTCAAATCTCAAGGTATCAAGAGTTGGAGTCCAGTCTGTGTAGAGGATATAAAGTTAGGAAAGACCACTTCTGCATCTCCTTTCCATCTTTGTTTGCATCTTATTTTTCTTACAGCTTATTTCCATAATATGAGAAGCAGGTACAAGATCCAAACCTCATTTGGGAGTGGGGAGGAAATGGATACATTTTGAGACCTAGTTGAAATATGAATAGGTGAACATCAAACTCATTTGTAAAAATGATGGGAATTCAGAATTGGGGCTGAAGATACAGCGAAAAGTTTGAAATTAAATAATTTCCATTTCTTTTTTAGGTATCCTTGCTTTCTTCTTTTTCACTCAGAGAATAAAGCTGATTCAAGACACAGCGCCAACTCTCAATTATTACTGGGTCCCCATTCTGGTTAGTATCTCTAAAAATATGGATGTATTTATTTTTTCTCAATTACAGCTGTACTACTTGACAGCTGTTTTCATGTTTACTTAATCCACTTTCCCAGCATTGACTTCTTCCTCCTTGATAGTTCTGTTGAATCTTGGGGTGGGGGGTGAGAAAGAGTCACTAGTACTTTACTGGAATACTAACATTTATTCTATTATTAATCACTGATTACATTTAATTTCTATCTTACTTTAAGGGAAAGAGCGTATAGGGTCTGTACTATCCATGTTATCCTAACTAGCCTATGAGTTTAATTATAAAGAGAATTAGTAGATTCATACGTTGTACTAAGATAAAGTATGGTTTGTATAGTGTGTTTGTAGTCTAGTGAGCCCATCTATTGTGATTTATAAACCATGATTTAGCCTGTTGTATCAACCCAACCAACTGGTTTCTTCAACCATATTAAAGTTAATCATGACTTAGAATGATCTAAGAACAATACGTGTATGTGCACGCCGTTCTCAAGTGCGTGGAAAAGAGTTCTGATTCCCAGCCAGGCCCGATTCACAATTATTACCTAGGTATGATGCCACAGTGAGGTGACTCTTTGTTTTTGTTTTTGTTTTTTTGTAGACAGTGATTGTGGGCTCCTACCTCATTGCACATGGATTTTTCAGTGTGTATGCCATGTGTGTAGACACACTTTTCCTCTGCTTCTGTAAGTATCCTGCTTGTGTTTGCATATTTGTTTAAACTGCTAAATGGTGTGAGCCATTGCTGCTATACACATATTTTATCCAAAGGTAGACAGTCCTTTACTGACCACAAGGCTGCTCCCCTGTTACTCTAGCATTAAACTAGGAGCTTCTATGAGATATATGGCAAGGAACTTCTCCTATATCTTCTCCATCCACAAAAGGATAATAACATTCTGACCTCTTTTCAAAGGTAGCCCTTGTAGATGTTGAAAGGCAACGTAGATCAGAAAATTGACCTAAATTGACCCTCCCGTTACCAGGGAACTGCATTTTAGTGCCATTCCAGAGATAGCACATAAGTCTGGTAGCACAAGCAAAAGAGAATACTACAGTACAGGTAGTTTTTGTTCGGCAACCACTCATTCAGCAACTGTTCAGAGTTACAATGGCACTGAATGAGAAGACTTACAAAGGGTCCTTGTAGTTGCAGCCGTCACAGCATCCCCATGATGATTGCAATTCAGGTGCTTGGCAAGCAGCTTGCAGTTATAACAGTCGCAGCATCCTGGGGTCATGTGATCGCCATTTGTGACCTTCACTGCTGGCTTCTGGCAAGCAAAGTCAATGGGGAAGCTGGCAGGTCGCAAATAGTGATCATCTGACATTGCGCTTAACGACGGCAACTGGAACTGCTGTTGTAAGTCGTCACCGTCATGTGATGTTGTGCTTTATGACCACATCACCTAGTGATGGAATTCCTGGTCCCAATTAACCATTGTTAAGCAAGGACTACCTGTACTTCAGAGTGAGGTTTATTGTGTTTCCATGTCATCAGATAGGAACTTCTCTGGTTCAGGGATATTAGACTGGCCCGATGCAAAAGACACAGAATGTGTATATGCTACTGGTTGTTTTATATAAAAAAGCAGACTTAGCAGGTGTAGCTAAAGGAAAGCAGCATAGCAACATATAATGGACTCTTAGCTACTGCCCATAATTCTGCTTCTGCAGTTCTCATCTGCTATTTAAAAGATGCAAAATTTCATAGCTATATTCATCAGCAAATGTGGGAAGGCAAATTTTTATCTGCAAAGCTGACAAGAGGCACCTCTCTTTATATTGGAGACTACTCTGTATTTTGTTGAAACGGCAGGTACAGAAGATACCTAACCGTTCCCCCCCATTAGTAATTTATAGCGTAGAATTAATTATATTGAGCGTTAGTCATGCTATCACTCCCTCTTTCCTTCAGTTCTGCTAGGAGGTGTTCAGTTATAAAACAAATTTACTAGTCCAGTGTTTTTCTAGATGACCATTCCTCCAGTAAGACAGGGTATGATCCTTAGCTCAGACAACAGACTAGAAAGGTTATGCTAGCCACCTATAATCAGAAATGCAGTCATGGCTGCTGGCATCATTTTCCTGACTGGCAGCAGACCATAGCTAGGTCCTTTAGAGCCAGGCACTGAGTATTCCAGAGAACTCCACTGAATGTTTCTTTACTGTGTCAGATGCTTCAGCCATAAAGCAGTTACCATTGTTCTCCAGTATGTCTGATGGACCCAGTACTTACAAATCAAGAAACAAAAATTAGAGGAAGAGAGAAGTGGTTTTATGTTCTTTTTTATGAGATAAAGGTACATTTTGGTGTGAGAGATGTCAGATTAAGATGTCAGAGAGAGAGGACAGTCAGATTAACGGTGGAGAAGTGACAATTTTTATTAACTGGATAGGCTAGATGGAGGAATCTTAGCTTTTTCAATTAATTAGGTGGCATCAGCTTGGGCTTGACTCCTAGTGACTTCCTGGACAATGTTCATAATCTTGATCTGCCTCTACTAATAACTAAAAACACTTCCAAGATCATTCCTGTAATTTCTTTGATACTGCCTGTCTATCTCACATGTTGTCATCCTCTTAAGCATAACTAGTTTTTTTCCAATCCGTCACCCATTTATATCACATGTCCAAAGTAAGGGACTTTCTGCTTGCTCTTCCTCACTTGAGTCTTTATTTGATAAAGAAATGACTGATTGGTTCTTCTTAGCATCCAAATCCATAAATCAAAGGTGGCAGTCTTTAACTTTTTCTCAGTGCCCAGCTTTTACATTGGCCCTAAAAAGACAGTTGCTCTACTTGTCCAGATCTTTGTTGTCTTAGAAGGATTTTTCATGATCTTGACTTAAATTTGTTACTGCCTTCTTCCTGAGGATTCATTTCCTCACCTTTTCTCCATCATGCTGTTATTTTAAGCTCAAGAAAATATAGCTATCAACTTTGTTCTTAGCCATTAGTTGAAGCTCATTAGGTTTATATTATCCTTACCTTCTTAATAGTTAATATTAATGTGGTTTTCACTTTCTGTTTTTGTTTTCATAGTGAGCTCTTCTAAGTCTTCTTTACTTTCAGCAAGTAAACAAAATGGTATTGTCCACATATCTCAGACTGTTAGCACAGATAGTCCTCGGGTTATGAAGGCAATTGGGACTGGAATTTCCGTTGCTAAGCAGTGTGGCCGTAAAGCATGGCATGTGACTGCATCGCTTAGCGACAGCAATCGCGACAGTCCCAATTGCCATCGTAACCCCAGGACTGCATGCGTCATTAAACAAGGACTTCACATGACCACGATGTGGGAAGAGGAGGGAGTCCCAGGCAAGCAGGTCAGTGGGTGAGAGCTGCAGATGAGAGCTATGGGCAGGCAGGTATCACAGGCAGGCACTATAGAGCACAGGCAGGTGTGTGGGTGCTGCAGGCAGGTGTGTGGGTGCCACGGGCAGGCACTATGGAGCACAGGTGGGTACTGCGGGTAGGTGCTGTGGAGTGCTGGTGGGCAGTCAAAAAAGTGGCAGGAGCAACTTGCAACCTCCTACTGGCTTCCCCATTGACTTTGCTTGCGGGAAGCTGGCAGGAAGGTCACAAATGGCAAACGTGACCATGGGACGCATTGTAATTGCGAGCCGGTTGCCAAGTGCTCAAATTGCAATCACGTGACTGCAGGGATGCTGCAATGGCCGCAACTTCATGGACCAGTCACAAGTCCCCCTTGTTCAATGCCTTCCTAACTTCGAATGGTTGTTGAACAAATAGTCGTAACCCAAGGACTGCCTATGTTTCGGTCTCCTAATTTGATCCCAGCTGTCATCTCTTTCAATCTTGCCATTTTTCTAGTATATTTGCTGTATAAATTAAACAAATATGGGTACAATATGCATCCTTCTCTTGCTCTTTTCTGTATTCTAATCTCCTTGTTTCTGAGTTTAGTCTTAAAATAACTTCTTCTTCATTGTAAAAGTACCTCAGGTGCCTCAGAACAGTAATCAGATGTTCTTGAACACTCATTAACTTTAACATATTCCACTTTGTGGCATAATCTACACAATCAAAAGCCTTATTGTAGTCAAGGAAGCAAAATCTCTCTTAAATTCTTTTATTGCCTCCATTATTCATTTTATATTGGTTCACTTTTGTAGAACCACATTTTTGTTTGATGTTGCATCTATCACTTTTTTGCAATGTTGTCATGGAATTCCTCAGTGTTTTCCACCACTGCATCTGTAGTAAGTGCGTACACTTGTGTACTCATATTCACTTAGGTATTCGCTAATTCTAAAGATAGAATTTTGTCTTTTGCTGGATTATCGCTGAGCACATACTTAGCCATATTCTTCTGGAATCTCATTGCCACTCCATTATTTTGTATCATCTAATTGTCAGAACAGTGTATTAGGCAAACCATTTAATTTAAACTGGCTCATTCCAGTCTACCAAGATCCAAAAATATCCAATTCAGTATTCTTTATTCTGCTTTGATGGTTTCAAATTTTCTTTGGTTTATGCTTGTCCCATTCAATATTCCAGTTCTATGTATACAACAAGGAACTCCACTTTCAGTACTGGCATCATTAGTGACTTCCTTGTGGCTTGGCCTTGCTGTGTCGTCACCTTCAGATCCATTCACGAAAGTTCAGTGTTTTTCTCCATTAACTAGAGAAGTGTTTTCCACCCTTGGAGTGTTAACACTTGACATCCAGATTTGTTATAATATTTCAGCCATGTTCATATACTTTTCTTGGCAATGATACTGAGGTATTTTACAGTAGCCTTTTCTAGGTTTGATTTTTGGAATTTCTTCTCCTGAGTAGGTTATCTTCCCTCACACCTGCAGAGCCCCACCTGCCCCCACTTTTACTGAGGGTTACTTTTAGCTTCATTTAGGTTAAATGGAAGTTAACCACTTGTACATTTGTACATTAAAAAATCTTGTAGTATTCCCATTTTGGTTATCTATTAAAACACAATTGCAACCATTTAATGAATAGCATTAATCTAAAAGCACTTGAAAAGTGAATTACAGTATAAAGAGTTAGTTGTGGCTGGGAATGCATCTTTTCAATTTTTTCTGGTTTTACAAATTGTTTGAATATATGAACATGTCTTTCACTATGTGAGCAAAGAGCCATAGAATATCAGGGGTAACGAAAAACATAAATCAGAATATGGCAATTTGAGAGAAGATGAAAGACATGATCAGTCACTGCAGAGAATCATGTGCAATGTTAGGAAATCAGTCTTCATTTGGAAGCAGATGTGAATAAGATTGAATAGCTAAATTGAGCTGGAGGAGTAGGATCAATGCAAGGTAGAAGCTTTACATGGTACAAAATGAACATGCAGGTGACAGTGCTGATAGTAACTGTCAGCTTTCCTTAAAAAGATGTCTCTCGTCAGCTCTTTGCCTTAATAGCTGAATGAATGTTGCTACGTAGCTATTACTGAATACCCAATGCTGGAGACAGAAGGAGGGTGTTGTTGATGAGCTCCGTTTATTGGCTTCCAAAAGGCACCTATCTTGCTGCTGTTGGAATTGATTAGTATGGAGTCTTGATCTAATTCAGCAGGGCCGCTCTTCTTACGGAGGCCAAGGAAAACAAGACCGATACACTGGTTGCATTTGCACAACACACTAGGCTAAAATTGAGAGGGGTGGTTTTAGTTTTGTGGAAATCCAGGTGTCGCCATCACAGTGGTGGGAGAACCAGTCAGTACTTTAAGTCAGGGCTCCTCAACCTCAGCAACTTTAAGATGGGTGGACTTCAACTCACAGAATTCCCCAGCCAGCCAGGAATTCTGGGAGTTGAAGTCCACCCGTCTTAAAGTTGTTGAGGTTGAGGAACCCTGCTTTAAGTCATAATTTCTTTATGTGGGCATAGCATGTTATATGAACCCAGCAATTTTCTTTCATTAACCGTGTGAATTCAGCCACAATGCAGTTGGTTACATAATTAAAGGCCAAATTGGGGGAAATAATTAAGACTTGCATTTAAGAATCCCATCTTTTATTGTCTCTATCCAAATGTAACTGCTCAGAACGGCAATTTTATGTCCGGCAAAGCAAAAAACAAAAAAGCTGAACATAAGAAACCTTCTCTTGGCCTCTTGTTAAGGAAAGCTTTTGGGTACCTGCATCTGAGTCTCCATCTCCATATTTTCAATTTGGCAGTTCTGGCTACTGAGGAGTAACTTACAAATTGACTTAATGCATAAAAAATAATATTTAGGTTACTAATATATGTGAGTCTTGTTTAGAAATACAGCCTAGAAAAATGTGAGAGTTCTTTTTTCTCCAAGGTTTCTTTTTAATAGAAAAAAAGGATTATAATTTAATAGAAAAAAAGGATTATAATTTATAATTTATGTTGTTTGTAACATTTTCATTTCAAACAACATAAAATGGTTAAGATGTGAAAGAAACCAGTCTGTTTGGAAATACACTAAATTGAGAAATAAAGGAAAACTAGTATGTGAAAGAGTGGAGAAGTTTGTCTCAGTACAGGTAAATTCTAAGATTCAAAATGATCACAAATAAAGAACCAGAAACTGCTAATAGTGATAGTGCTTCAGATTTAGAAATGAGAATGACTAGCAGTTTTCTGTAGCAAAATCTGTATCCTGAGCCCTGACGCTCCCATCTCCTTTCCCCCCCTTTTCCCCATGAAAATTAGGGCTTTATCCAATCCAGTAAAAACCAAAAACCAGAATACGTTCTTTTCTTTGCTTTATTACAGTATTGACGGTTTTCTATTATTTTCAACATTAAATTTGTGCTAAACAGACAAGTAGGAAGAGATGAAAAATGGAGAATTACTGGTTGTTGGAGATGTAGCTGACCAGGGAAAAGGCTAACTCTGCCTCTTAAGTCAGGGCTTAAGACTTCTTCCTGTTTCTAGTAGAGGAACCCCCTTTTCTTCAGGCTTCTGCTCTGAAGGTACCTACTTCATGCCCTATCTTCTAAGAAATACCTACTTTTAGGGCAGTACCTTCTTGGAAGAGGCAGTGGCTTTTTTCTTGGCCCAGTTTTGAAAGCTGAGAGGAAGAAGAAAAAAGAGAATCAAGCAGGGCATGAAAGCAAAGATGACTCCCAGGAATCACACGCCAGCTGATTAGTGTGCCAATAGCTGACCAGGATGGTTGAAAGACAGAGGAAAAGAGCAACAGGAATCTAGCCTGATTGATAATTCACAAGGAGCATGTGGTTCTCTGCCCTACTGGAGATGAGTGAACAGCTGTACCATTTTCCAAAATGTCTGGACATCCTGTATGTCTGAAGGCCTGATACTATACCCAGATCTGAAAACTGAGCAAGAGTACCTCCTGAGTATCGGTCTTCCAGGTCTGATGGTAGAAACTCATATTGGCTTCAAGCATGATCTATTAGCTGACTTAGTGCATCCTTTGAAACATAGTAGTAAAAACTCATGGCATCAGCATCAAGAGGCCTTAAATTATTGGGTTCCTGTAGATGTAACTGAGGATGGCATTAACATCAAATAGATTGCTTAGACCTGCAGATACTTTAAGTTGCATTATCCTTGATAGGCAAGAGGCACCATTTTCAGGCCACACTCTTGTGCATTCCTTCATCAGGGGTATGCTCTTTCTCTCACCCCCTCATGATTACTGCTTCCTTATATAGGATCTCTCCTTGCTGTTCAGCAACTCTTATGACCCATTAGAGAGATTCCCATTAATAGTCATACATAATTTTTTATAACCCTAACCTCAGAGGGGTTAACTAAGAGGACTGGGGAGATGGGGGCCCTTTCAGAGGAGATTAGTATAAGGTGCTGCTAAGACCAGATCAATTTGTGCTGCAGATCATTTCCAAATTCCACTGAGGAGAAGAGACTGAACCCCCCAATTTCTGCTTGAATTCCACCCACTCTAGAGAATGCAAGATACAAAGGCACAAGCAACTAGAGATGTATAGAGGGCCCTAAGAATTTACCTAAGGAGGCCTAGGGCCGATAGTTTGTCTCCTACAGAACAGGAAATCAGAGGAGACAAATTACATACTTTACTATTAGCAGATGAGTTAGGGAACCCTGAGATACAGAGGCAGCCTCCTTCTGCCATCACAGTACACTAAGTTTGAAGAGCAACTACATCAGCAGCCTTAATGACAAAAGAACTGGTGGAACCATCTACTTTTATAAAATGTGATAAAATAGATAAGTTCATCTCTGGAGAGATGGTTTTTGGTCACTGGAAGATGAAGCTTACCATCCCACACTATTTAGAAGGAGGAGAACGTTAAGAGAGAAACCAAACAGCCAAGGCTCAGTATGTAAATTACTTTACTGGATTATGCTAATTAACCATTATATATTGTTCTTCCAGTGTCATGTGTTTTTGTTAGTGGTGAGTTCTAGTTATAGTGAAGTATTCAGTAAAGGAGTTGAACCACACTTAGTGCATACAACTGAAGGGAGGGGGTTTCCTTCATGGGACTGAAAAAAATCTTAAGTCCCACCTTCTGGCTAGAAGTGATGGAGTTAATCCTTTCCTGTTGAATCTATCTTTCAATGGCTAGTAACTTACTGTGAATTTACTTCATAGTAAATCCAAGTACCATTTATTATAATTAAGCAATTTGCAACTCCTTATAACAAAAATTAAAAACATTTAATTCAGTACAATAAATAATTTATAATTGTTGTCTGCATAAACCATACTTTTCAATTTAGTTTGTTGTGTGAGCAAACCAAATTGTACAAGTTTTGTAAAAAACAGTGATTTTATATCTGGAAATGGTGTTAAAAATTAAGCATTACATATGTTTTTGTCGTTCCAGAAATTTCCTTTTCTTTTTGAGCAAACCCTAAGGGAAAAAAACTTTTTTTAATTGATTCAAGATTTCTGAAAATGTTCCATCTTGAATCAGGTTGCTATGAAAGTGCAGGAGCAGGACCAGAAAACACAGTACTTAAACCTAGTTGCCGTTTGCTTAGCTTGCTAGTGAGTGAACTGTGAGCTTTTGGAAGATCACAGGAAATTGCTGGATGGTTTTGGTCAGAAAGCCACCAGCCAACAGGACACAGCAAATTAGTCTGAAGTGGATACACCTTCATTGGCTGGAATGTATATTCAATTTTAAAGCAGCCTTTTTTTCCTACTGCAGTGTAGCTTTAGTCTTACTGTAGCATGATAGTAAAAGCTAATTTCTTTTGTGATTTTGCAATCATTAACTTTTCATCCTTTCCACATCCATTAATTCAAAATTAGCAATTCCCTTCTGCTGTACTAGCAAGATTATGCTATGATATAGCATAAAAATAGGTGACTGTCTAAGCTATCTTGTTCTTTTCTTGGTGGAGGAATCTTAATTGCAACTAACTTCAAAATTTCCCTTTTTTTTTCTCTCTCTCCCCTTTTGCTTTGTATCTCTTTGCCTTGTCTTGTTTATTTTTTGCTTTGCTTTGCTTCTCTTGTTCATTCTTCTGTGGATGCTTTCTCTGTCTTGTTTGGGATTCCAAAAGGTGAAGATCTGGAAAGGAACGATGGAACTCCTGAGCGGCCTTATTACATGTCCTCTGCCTTGAGTGAAATCCTCCTGAAGGGAAGCCTAAAATCTTCCAAAAGTGCTGAGAGTCAAGAATAGGGACAGTGCACCAAATGGGAAAGGCGCATGCAGGTGCCCCACTGCAAGCCTTCTGTGTGCAGATGCTGTACCTTCATGGCAACACTGGGCAAATTTTGATATTCTGAGACACGATGGGTGCTCTTGAGTCTTGCATCAAGCAAGTGGCAGTTGGTGGTATATAATTTGTTTCTGTCCAGCAGATTTTCCAGCACCAAAGGAGAGGACCTGAAATTGGAGGGTGAATGTGTTTAATGTTGAAAAAATGCCTCAACATGATTGTACTGTTACTGTCTTTGTTATAGTTGCTCCTGGTACAGATATCCCATCAATCAAATGTACAAAGAACAACACCGAAACAATTCAAAATGAAGTAAAATTAATATCAACAGCAGTATATTAACAATTTCCATTACAATGGAAACTTTCAAAAACTGGACCTTTCTAGGTTCCAATTGCCCCCTCCATATTCCATGTGCAGCATTTCATAAGACAGTTAGCCCAGTCTAGCAACATCTTGAGGCTTAAGAAAGCAGCTGTTTTGAAATAAATGAAATGAAAGCAAAGACAAAGGCTTGCTTGCTTAATAGTCCTTTCCTTTGGTCAAACAGATTTTCGAATTAGGATACAACTGGACTGGAGTTGTATGCAACCAGAGGCAAAAAGTGAGATGAGAATAAACACAATGAGCACCATTTCTCTTTCAAATTAGTTTCAGCTCCTTAGAAATCTCTTGCTTCACTTTGAGTGCTGGCTCGAACTATTAGCAAGCCCCTTCAGGGTAAGAAGTCCTTGGAGGGGCTTCTTCTGCCTTTCTGTATCCCTGCATTATATAGAGATGTGGTCAACAAAAGGCATCAAAGATTAACACAACCGTTTTAAAGGGGGAATGCTAAAACAAATCTGAGATCAAGCCAGTTCTTTTCTATTAGCATATTTCACATGCAACACTTGGTGTTTTCCTACCTATGAATAAGAAAAGGTATTATCTAGAGAAGTTTAATTTCAGAAAAGAGGCAAAGAATAATTTTCAAATGTGAATGATAAACAGGAAAACTACCTTTGCTTTGCTAAAGACAGTTCCTGAACAAGGAAACTATTATTAAAAAGTTTCTTTTTATCCCATGGAAAGAAAAGACCTCAGATTTCATGGACATGCCTGGAATCTTTGAGAATGGCAAGATTTATCCCCTCACTTTAAGACAGGGTTTTAAAAAGTCTCCCTAACCAAATCATCTTTGGGGAAAAAACTACAGTCTTTCCTGTTGAATAGCAGAAGGGGCAAATTCTCAAATCAGAATCCTTTTCAGTCTAATTATGTATGTCTGTTGTATGTACTTATCTGCTCATGGTGAGATCTGATCTCTACTGCAAGCAGTGGTCAAGTTCCCTTTGATTTCCACAAGTCAGGAGTTACTCCTATGTGTATTTGCATGCCTGGACTATCATCCTTCTGCTAGTCCTGAAGTGATCTTTTCACATCCCTTTGCTTGGGGGGATTTGTGTCTCTGCAGTGGAAGACCTGGAGCGCAATGATGGCTCTACCGAGAAGCCTTACTTCATGTCATCTAACTTGAGAAAACTCCTGAAGAAGACTAATAAACAGACAGATGCATGACTTGATGACTTGACATCCCTGTCTTTCCATGAGACAGAATGAAGTGAACCAACTTGAGTTAATGTCAAGAAAGAGCAGCATCTGTGAGGTTACAATATCTTCCCCTTGCTGTGCCAGATAACAGTAGCTTGGGCAAATTGGACACCTCTCTTCTTGTATATTTTGGTTTTGGAGTGTAGAGGTTTTTATTTGTTTTGCATTTTGCAGTGATAAATTAGCCACAGGTTACAACAGCTATAGCATATACAGCATACTAGATCAGTGTGAAATATTTGCCACCAGTTAAGAAAGCCATCCTACTGTTTGTTGGGCCTGGACTGTAGAAGTGTTGAGTTGGCACTTCTTGCTTGCTAATACAGACAGAGTAAATTGTATAGACAGTGCTAAGTGATCCAATGAAGCTACATTTGATCCAATTTAGTTATTAACCATCTGTTCCAAAAGTTTTTATTTTTCTTGTAATGGCATTTATTTCATTGACCACTTAAGAAGGTCACCTTAAAGGTATTGATGACCCCAGGAAGGGTTTTAATATTATATACTGATGTTTATGGAAAAATGTATTTATTTTCTACAATTTATGTAACCTGTCCTTCGCTGCCACTCCATATTCTGAAGACAATTTAATAATGAAACCAAACACAATTAATAAAAAGTAAATCTAGGTAAGAAAATGTTATTCTAGGAAAAGATTGTTGGAACTGGAGAAGGAAAATTTGGCAATAGCTTTGTTTTTTTTAATGAAAATCATCAATCATATTCTTGAGAATACATGTAAAATAAAATTAGCATGAAATATAAAACAAATCAATATATGACAAGAAAGGAGCCATAATAATATAAAAGGTTCAGAATTATCAGTAATTTACTTTGAAATTTCTATCAAAAAAGCCATCTATTTTTAAAGTGCCCAAGTAGATTTAACTTAATTTTTGCTTTTTTATATTTTATTTCCTATATTGCTGTACTTTTCACAGAAAATATAACTGAAATATTAAACATTTTGTTTTGTAAATTTGTTTAGTATTTTTTATCACACAAAGTACTATAATCAATATAGATGCCTGCAAATTGCCTTTAGAAATGTTTATCTTGTCTTCCTGTCCCTAAACCTAGTCTTCTAGCTTTAAGCTTGGGGAGGACTTAAAGATTTTCTTTCAAAATTTCTTTCTTTCTTTTAACTGAAACCTAGTATGTATTCCTTGCAAAATAGGCAAGGTGTATCAGATAAGTGGCATAATTTCATTTCAGGAACTCGAACAGATTCAATAATCTTGGGGTGAAATTAACATTACATTAGCAAACTCCATAAAAACTCCCACAAAATTCTGCTCATTTTTAGCCAGGTGTGATAAGAGATCTCAGATCCACTGATTATTTCACCATGGTGACTTGTGCAGGCACAACTTGTTTCACCCCAGAATTATATTTGTATTGAGTGGTAATATGATTTATCATAATTAAGCTATTAATTATACCAGGGAAAACTGTCATGGAACTAGCTTTCTTTTAAAGAACAGTTAGGGAGAATTGTATACCATGGATGGATTTATTAAACCTATGTTATGCTGCACAGAGATGTTAAAGAATTGAGTGGGCCTCTTGTGATCCCATTCTGCTGACTCTCTTCTCTGTATGACTCCTGTACAAACACTTCATAACATAATAGAGGATGAGATTGGCACTTACAGACTAGTTTTTGGAAGAAATACATGATAGGTCTAATCAAATCCCATTAATGCAAATCATATTAAGGCCCATTAATGCAAATGAACACAGACAGCAGATGGTTATATATTTGGAACTAGGTACTTCTCTGCTAAAGTGATGCTACAAGCTGCTCTTGATTACACAAGTGCAAATTCTAATTTCACCCGCCATAAGAAAAACCACCACCAATAGCCATACAGAACGCATGCTAAGGTGGTGCTTGTAAGGTCTGGACATCCATCCAATTTTTTTCCCCCTGAAAGGGCAGCGTACCTATCAATGAAACAGCCACTAGATAATACCCGAGTTCATCTCTTGAGTGTAACATAGTAACCTGGATTTATGCATCCTAGATGAACCTGGAGTTCCAAGAAAGGGGATTTGGTGTGAAAGATGTTACAGGCTGTGGGGTGCTGTTGGGTACATCCACATATTTTATTCAAAATTATTTTTGACCTGTTGGCTGGTCAGCCTATTGACCTTTAGATGGCAGCAAAAAGTGTTTCACTAAAAATCACTAGGTGGTACCCAATTCCTTGTCTGGATTTCTGCAGCTGAAATACAGTTGCTGGGTAAGTGGTGTTGAAGAGCTAGAGTTTAAGAAAGCACTACTGATTCTAGTATTACATACAATGATCATTCAAAGAGGAGAGGGAACAAAAGGCTGTTGGTTGAAGCCATATCTGTACCAGGTTACATTCTAAGCATACATTATGTTAAGATGAACATTTAAAATAAGAGGAAATATGTCAGGGCTTCCCACAGGACAGTGGGATTAGGAAGGGAGTTCCCTACTGCACAGACCTCCACAGCATGAGAGCTTAGTTTTTCCAATTAAAGTGTCAGTCTTGTCAGTCTCAGAGTTTCACACACTTGGTCAACAGTTAACTCATCAGTCTTTAAAAAGAAAACTCAAGTAGCTGGAAGCTGAGGTTCTAGTCTCCCTTCCAGAGAAAACACTACAGAACAAGCTTGAAGCCCAGGGACCCATTGGAAGGGAGTAGCCTCACAGCAGACCTGCCTGGCCTGCTGTAGCAGAACAGATCACTGCTCTTAACCACATCACCTCAAATCATGTGCCATGGATTTGTTTGGGTAGTAGGAGGCTTTCTATTGTTCCAGTGAAAATGCTAGAACATCTTGCATCAGTGCTTCGGCCTGCTTCATCAGTGGGCTGCCTCCAAGACTTCATTGTGAGAACATAACCTCAGCAAATGGTAAGTGTGGCATCTACACACCACAGAGGCAGGCTGTATGATAGATTTTAAACTTCCTTTATAATTGCTATTGCTATATCTTCCTGGAGAATTAATGAAATCACTTTGCTCCACTTCTATGGCTTCAGACTCTTAGAAACATTATGATTAGGTTCACAATGTATTAGATTCACACAACACTCCAAGTTAAAACCAAAGAAACTACATTATGGCTTGGTGCAATGTATGAACTCGTTATCAAGTCAATCTATCAATCCCTTGTGAACCCTGCAGTGGTAAAACTCTTCAGGAGATCAAGGGGCTGTGGACATTTGCACTGATGTAGTTGTACTGAAGAAACCATCAAAATTGACTCAATTACTGAACAGCTATTTCATCAAGGAATGTAATGTACAAGGAGTCATTTCATTAGCAATGTCATTTTCAAGGATAACAGCAACAGTGAGATAAGGGCAGTTCAAGTAGGTTAGTGCAGCTTTGGCCTGAAATGGACAATATACACAGGTTTGGAAGGGTGGTATCTGCTCCCTTTAAAGGATAACAGTCCACATGTTGGTGAATTGTGTTCCCACTGAAAAGTTGGATAGTTAGTGAAAAGTTCCTAGGCTCCTGTAGCGTCCCTTTAAAGAAGGAACACTTCCGATTTTGGGGTCACTGTTGTGGTAGAAAAACCAGTTTTTATCTGCAGCACTAAGACTCCCACATGAGCACCTGCGTGTGTATATTAAATTGGTCATTAGTCTCCCTTTGCTTTGACAGGATGGTACCTGAGGTACTTAGTCCATCATCTGAATATACCCTGCTATTATTTAAAGCCCATATTTATTCCCTTTACACTCAGGTTAGCTTACCAGAAGTCATTACAGGCTTGCCATGATTATAAATGATAACATTTGTCATTTAGTTGTGTAGCTAGCAGGGGCATATTCAGCCTACTACCTGGTGGTTCCTCATCTCTTAACTAAATAATCATATGGTATGACCGTGATATGAAAAATCACAGGGAAGCTTGGCAAAATTTGACTGAACAAACGTTAGGAGTCCTACTGAATTTTTGCTGGGTGTACTGCCATTTGTTTTAATTACAGTTGTAATTAAGTTGAAATAATCTATTTTAATTGTTGTACGCTGCCCAGAGTCACCTTGTGTGAGATGGGTGGCTATATAAATTTGATAGATAGATAGATAGATAGATAGATAG